AATGGACAGTCAACCTGGTGAAGAGCGCCGGGCATCCCCTTTTGCCCTCTCACTTTGGTGAAAAACACCTCCGCCACGTGAAGGCAGTGAGTAGGACTTCCTCATGAGAGGCTATGTAAGACGCCCGGTCATATGGGAGCATTTCAAGAGGTGTACGGAGGGGTGGTCAACCCGCAGTGGAAGACACCCACCCCGACCATCCTGAGGCTTTGGAGGCCTTCACACGATCTCCTAAAATGTCAATGTTGCGTCATCCTTCAACTCATCGTAACACCTAATCGGATTCCATTCATGGACTAATTGTATAACTGTGACTCAACCTGTTTGAAAGAGAGAAAACCAAAAATACGGTTAAGACTACTTGAAAATGACATCATGATGTTTCACATATTTATCACAAAATTTTACCACTGTTTTTTTAGCCAAGTGTTCCTTTAAACAATTTTTTTGCGTTTTTATGGAGGTGTGATCTCCAGACTTACTTCAGACACTGACATTAATGGGATTTAGAAATTTTAGCTATAATATTACATCATCAAAACATTCTTATAACGTTCAAACAAAGTGATTCCTGAAATGTTTATCACAATGATATCTTTCCATCTAAATTTTAAGATTTACGCTCTGGTTTATATACAAGTTTTTACACCAAATTAAAATATGAACTACGTGAAATTTATTAGAAACTATAAAAAGATCCATTTATCGGAAAAGAAACGGATGATCATCGAAAGCATTTTATGGTGAACAACATTCCCTTCAAATTCAATGGATTCAGACGCTGGATGCAAATTTTCCTTTAATTCTAACATAAACTTAATGTCATTGTGACATCGGTGACAAAGCGGTAAAATGTTCGCTAACCATGCAGGTAGTCTGGAGTTTGATCCCTGCCCACAGACGCAGTCCTCCTTTACCTTGCTAAGCCAGTATTAAGACTGCTTAGGGAAGGGAAGGTTGGACTGGGCATGAGGCTAGCATCTCCATCCTGTAAAAATAAATACCACTGCTACCAAAACTTTAAGCCTCTAGCTTGGAGCCCTGTGTCATAAGTGACGATGCATTGACCATACGTTTAGTTATCGTACTTTAGGGGTTTTTATTACACATTGTCATAGCTGGCTGATTAATATGAAGAAATTTGAGAAGATTTATAGTCACTCAATGGGTGACAAGGGGTCTATAAATTAACTGTCCAACTAAATTTTGAAAGTCACATTGGAAGTATCCTAAATTTTATGACAACTTATCGAATTGCCTTCCATTATTAGCTTCTTCATATGCCCAATACTTGAGTGCATTTAGTTGGTATAGGCGTGAGGATTTTTAACTTCAAGCGTTGAAATCAATCATGCCATCTTTTCCGTCACCTTGATACCGGTTCGATATATATATATATATATATATATAGAACCGTATTTGTATTGTATTGTAAACCACGCTGCCTGACCGATAAATTAATTTTACTAGAGGCGTAGAAACAAAAATTACACAGGATTACAATATAATTGTAAAATGGTCATTCTAAACGGATTACAAGTGTGGTCAGGAGGAGCATGGGAATAAACTTAAAATAACTGATTTTATAACTGAAAAATAGGATGAATTAAATGAAGGCAAAGAGAGAAAATTACACACACAGATAACAAAACAAAAAAAACTGAAGGATAAGGGAACATACCGAATTAGGTCTATGGTAGTTGTAAAGGCTGGACAGGTTTCTTTTGAACACACAACTCCTGCTTTTCGATGCGTATGGTGAGAGTTTTCGCTGTACAAAGAAGTCAGAAATACACTGACTGTCTTTGGTAGATTTTTGTTTACCTTGTAAATGATTCTCAATGATGAGTCAGTTGAGATTCTGTGACAGGAATCGATTGACGAAGTGTTCAATTATTGAGTTTCTGATTGAACTAGTGCCTCCTCTTTGCAGTCATGCTGGATGATGTTCTCTAACACGTTTCGATAAGACCCGTATAGAACGACTTATGTACCTAGCTCTGGAACAGCAGGCACATTGAAGTGGTCATATGCGGAAGTCTATCCTTCCCGTTGCTCCGAAGTAGTGGGCGGCTAGAGTATATAACTCTTAGAGTTGCTGCCGGAAAAGTCTTCTTCAGTGAACTGGAGATTCGCCTTTTAAGGATATCTGCTGCTAGGTCTCCCCTGAATTGCAGATTCAATTAAAGTGTTTTTCTTGGCGTTTTGGCTTTGGCTTCATGTTCTTCTCAACCAAACGCAGTGGGTATCCATTTTGAACCTAGATGCTTTTGAGAAATAGGATCTCTTCTTCTAAACAATCGTCGCCACAAATTCTTCTGGTGCGGTGGGCTAGCGAGATGATGAGAGCTCTTTTACGGCTTGTAGGCATCCAGTTGTAGAAGTTTGTTAGTTGGCCATTCCATGTTGTCTTTTTATGGATAGATCTTTTCAGAGTCGCATCATCTCTTCTTGTCAATTCGACGTCCAGAAATGGAATCTTTGATTCATTTTCAACTTCCATTGTGAATTTAGTTGAAGGATGACAGTTATTAAACTCCTGTAAGATACAAGTTAAATCGGAGTCATCTTGACAAACTATAAAAGTGTCATTAATTTTAGTTCACTGTCTAGGGAATTTCCACTGAATACAACTGTGTAGACCTGTTTGATTGGACAGTAGTCAGTGACTAGTGCAGTCTGTGTGTCTAGTCCTCTGTTTGATGTAGACTGAATTCTGTTGTCAGTTAAGTTTGCAATATGGTCACTATGCGGTTAGGCGGCTTATCATCACCATGTGTTTGTGCTGACTAGTGGTGAGTGCCGCCTAGCATGAAATCCAAGTCGAGCAAGGCTTCCTTGAGTCGATTGCCTTCAACCATCTAATATCTGCAATTCTGTAATAATCCTCTTAAAATGATATATTTGAGTAAAGCAAGAACAACGGTGGAGGGGGGGGGTAAGCAGAACACAATACGGTGCCATCCTGCTTGCCTACATCCTAAAGACGTTATTAAGTTCATGTACAGAGAACTTTTAATATACTTGCAAATTTGACATGATGTCAGTTGAACAGTGCTCAGAATATTACACCTTATATAATTTTTACACAGGTAGTTCGGGTTTAAACAAAATCAATATATGCAAGGAATGGTAAAGCAGTTAGTTACGTATAATAAAGACGAGAGATGCGTAAGATGCTGATTGACTAATAAATTAGGCAAAAATGTACTGGATTCAACTCAAATCATAGAAACAAGAGACAAGCAAAACTACATCATATCAAAGAGGTGAGGTTTAAAGCCAAAGATTACATAGTCATCAAATGACAGACAGAAATAAAGAGAGAAAAATAAAATGACATACTCATGAAATTGAAGTTGAGGTAATAGAGCTTGGCAAATGCCTATCTACTGATCAGTTTCTGTTATTCGCCTGGATGACAATTTTTTTGCTAACAAGGAAACGAACTTAGACTTTTCTCTTTCCAAAGTAGTTATGTTTTTATTTTATTTTTTGATTACAGCTTGATTCCACACTGTATTTTTGGTACAAGTGTGGAATTTTCAGCATGGATATCGGTAGCCCGAATTTTGCAACCCGAACATAGATATCAGGTGTGCGTCGGCAGAGGATTGAACCTCGGACCATGTGCATGGTCGGCGAGAGTCCTAACCACGGTGCCACTGACGCATATTAGTGCAGTCATTTAATATGTATGATCGTCGCCTGGAGAAGCATCTCCCAGCTATTAATAATAATAATCTACTTTATTCCAAAACAGACAGTACTTATAATACAGAGAGAGAGAGAGTGGAATTCTCAGCATTTTTCACAATATTCCATGTGATTTACTCAAAATATAAATCAAATTAACCAGAGGAATTTGTCCACGTTTATGGTATAAAGTCAAAACTATATTCGAAGTACAAAATGAGAATAATAATAAATATAATAATAACAAAAATAATAACTATGGGTTTATTTCAAACAGTATTGTCAATTCAGTTTGGAAATTTTAGCATGTTATGTATAGATTATTGAATCTACTGTTCTGTTGATATAGCAGCATGGTGAGAGGAAAGACAAAAAATAACAGTTATTATCTAGATTAAATGATGTTTACGCTTATGAAAAAATAAACAAAAAATGTGTGAGGATTATAAATATAAGAAGAACAATAACAATAAAGCTTGGTGGAATAATGATGGAATGGAGGTTAGTTCATGTCTGACACTAAATTTCATCACATAAAGTACGTGCTGTCAAACATTATATTGTGGAATTTTTATACTTAGACATACGTGCATAAAGTCTTCTGAGAAGACTTCTTGTTTTACCTGAGAAGACAAGAGTTTGGAGCTGCGAGTAAAGTGCGTTTTTCACAACTCTCATGAATACTGAATGAGTAATCGATTAGACAACTTCTAGTATTCTCAGAATCCAAGAAAAAAATATCACTTTCGGTAGTGGTCATTTCAGTATGAAGCTTTATACTTCACGTTTATTATTTATTTCTTCATTTTTGTCCGCAGTGGAACGTAGGGTTTCAGGTTAGAGCGGTGGTGCACTTTTTCCGGGGGTGGGAATGCTAGTCTCACTCCCCACGTTCCGTCCAACTCCCCTCTTTACCGTGCTTATTACCGGCTAAGCAACGTAAAGATATGCGTTGGCTAGAAGAGAACCCTGGACCACTTGCGTAGTTGGCCAGTGTTCTACCACTAAGCCGCCGAAACTCAGGCCTGGACAGATGTTTCAGCCCAGTGTGGGACTCTTGAGCAATATGTACACACTGCCAGTGTTAGTATCCAGGATCTTTAGGTGACGTGACAAGCTGGGAAACCATTAAGTCACTGGGACCTTTAACTTCGGTGATCAGACAAGAATCCGTGCTTTCACAAATTTACTATGGTCGCCGACTTATACTTCAAGGTAAGAGTATTTTATTAATCACGCTTTGATTTATTATATTATATATAATACATATTTATATATATATATATATGTATACATTCTTACAGAAAAATAAAAATATCACGAAATCCCTGGCACTATCGGTCTTTATGACATGTTTCGGATCATCATTCGTTATTGGATATAATCTGGGTGTTTTGAATTTGCCAGCAGATGTAAGTTAACTTGTGTTTTTGTACTGCCTATATACTATTCTTATGAATATTTAGCATCAGCCGCAGTGAAAGACAAAAGTAGTCACTAATTTAGAGTGTCCCTTATTCCATTGCATCACATTCAATTAGATAAACGTATCAAATTTAATTGAATTTTAGATTATCCCGTCGACTGATTGGACCGAAATGCTCGGTCTCAGGATGACATGTCAGCTTCTTGTACAGATGCTTCGACGATGTCTACGCGCTGAATAAGAATTACATTTGTGGATGGTGACTAGCAGTGGAACCCAGGAGGCGTATTTCGTCCTGTTTAAGGCTCGTCAGCTCGATGTACCCGGATTAATATGACCAGTTGCACAATAGGTGATTCCTGTGGCCCAAGTAGTCCAAAGGATAAAGGTTTGGCGTTTGAAACTACAGGCACTGAGTTCGACCCCCGGTGGGAACATTATCACTCACTGAGAAATTCAGGTACATCCAGCTGGCCAGTCCCAAATAGGGCGAAATGCGCGTTGTCCTGGATTCCACTGCTAGTAACCATCCAAAAATTATACATATCGAATGTTTTGAAATAATGGAGAACATTCTTAGCTCAGGTGGATGATATTGAATCAGTTGTGTTCCCTGAGAAGCTGATTGATTTAATTGCCAAGCTTTCGTCGCTCTTCTTCAGAGGAGGTTTAGGTATGAAATGAACTTATTTGAATTCTCCAGGGATGGTGTAGTTATACATCGTGACAACCATTGTCGTAAATGATTGTTAATCTACGTCTTAATTTATCGTATTTTTATTGACTTGGAATTTTAACTTTTTGTCACGTGATGGTTTACATTTTATTATCTTGTGGTAAATTTGGCCTACAGTAATGTGTTCTTGTATCAGGGTTGGAAGGAGACACCCACTTTGCCGACTGATGTAATGTTTATTGTAGTTCATACATGCAATTTATTTTGTAAATGGTATTAATTTTATCTTCTTTTCCTGTTGGATGGCTCTTTCGATTTGCACAACATCGAATGAAGTGATTGTACTGGCTGACTGTCTGGCTGGCTTGTATACTATATAAATTTCAAACGCTATTGATATTCTAGCTGTTATTTCAGAGATATGTCTTTTAGTTTATGGTAGAATGAATTTTCTTCTGCTCTTTGATGATGACTTCTTGTTGATGTTACAGCAACTCGTCTACAAGGACAACGAAATCTTCACAATTAAATCAACCAGCTCCTCAGAGAACATGACTAATTCTGTATCAAATACTTGGTGACTTTCATTCCAAAGTGAATTTAAAGCCTATTTTCATACCGAACCTATAAAATGTTTAGAGACTAGCCGCTGGATTATTTTTTAAATCTAAGGCTCTTTACCTATAACTCCTTATAATATTTAGTATTTTATATTTTCAACCTTATTATTCTTTACCCACCCCACACTGCGATTTAATTTCTACACCTCATCACCACTTTTACTGACTTGAACAATTTATTGGCTCAATTTCAGTTCTAATTTAAATTGGAATAAGGCATTTAGAAGACAAATTTCGTGTGGTGACATCGTCATTTCGTAGTTTTTTTTACAACCGCTTTACAACTATCAACATGGTTAACAATAATAAAATAAAGTTCATGACAATTACTCAGTTAAATCAAAAACAATAGTACATACCAATGACCATGGTAGGCGAAGATTGAAGTCTATTGCTTTTTGTATGCACCCTTTAGACTATATGTGATTAATGCACAGTGCTTTCATCACCTTCAATAACCTTGAGTTAGTTATGTGATGAAATAATTGTGAAACAGTCATTAATATTGATTATGTGACCTGACATTAATAAGTGTTTTGCAATGGATGATGCTAAATTTCTACTCAGATTAACCCCGTTGGGATTTTCTATATGATTTAGTAGCGATTTTGGAACATATTCTTTTCGACGATATTAGAACATTCTGTTGATTCTACCTATATGGGTGGCACCGCAACAACTGCAGGTGAACTTGTAGATACAGTTAGAAGTAGAGTCCACAAACTGTCGTCCTTTAATCATAGGTACTGGGATTGAAAATGTTTGGCATGTGATAAAAAGAGATTCGGCGTAGAATGTGCGTTTGATGGCCGGCCGAAGTCCTTGAGATGTCAACTGCATAATCTGGTCACCATTGAATGGTAGGTTACTGAGGATAGCTTTCTTTGGTACAGAAGCTGTCTTTTCAAGATGTGGTCTATCCTTACTGTGACTAGTGATGAAGTTCTCTGGATAACCATTAGCTAATAAAACTGAATGTGTGGGTCGAAGTTATGTAAACTTGACAAACCTCATGTACATATACAAAGACACAACTAAATTATGTGTAAATGTAATTGTACAGCTATGTGAATGCATTAGCCGACGAAAAGAGTCTCTTCGCTGAACGTCTTCTCTCTTTTTTTTAAATATTTAATATCTTGAGAAAATTAGTCTTGATACAGAGTCTAATGATGTCAACGGTTTACAGATTAAATAATAAAACACAACCTCGCTCCTAATCTCTAAGTCGTCGGTAACTTTCAGATGTCCACTTTTCATAGTATAACACAAATAAAAACTAAATTAATGACATTGAATTACTTTTTACCGCCTCCTGTGTATATTGTCTTGATACCAGTTTTATATCATTGGGTGTGTGTGTGAATAAAAAACGGACATGACAAATTTTAAATATGCCTTGATTAAAAATACAGCACGTCACCAGTCTAGAGAAAACGTGTCATTTTATTTACAAGCAACCGCTTTCATCACATCGTGTATAGCTTAGCTGATCTCATTTAAATACAGTACAGAACACATTGTGTGTTTTAAAAAAATTTTCCTGGGCGTTTATCTGTATACCGTTGAACAAAAAAACAACTTGATCTCATCATGAAAGAACGTAATCTCATGTTCTAATGCTTTAGTGCAAAGCTAAAGTATCGTTACATAACAAGTTATATCGTGTTAAGTTTGTTTATGGCTAAATTAAGAATTTCTGTAATCTTCTATATATCAAGCGTACCAATAATCACAATAAACGAAATGCAGCATAGAGTACGTTAAGCAGACCGCCTCCTTATGCACTGTAATGAGTGAGGCACTCAATGCGTCAAGATATAACGGTAGAAGACAAGAGACTTAGAAACGGAATGTTTAGACTTTGGTATCGCTGTATAGCGAACTTATGTACACCTTATCTTCAAATCATCAATTGTACACAGATCTTCCATGTTGTCCTACTTCTACTATCTCTTGGTATTTTGTTTCCCTGTGTTTCTTTCATGTCTCCTATGTATCTCTATCCGCAAGGCTGTTGTATCATTTGCTTTCTCTGACTGACGCCAAATCTCTCTCCTTACTATTTGGTGATTTTATGCCGATGAACGTCTCTTTATATACTACCGAAAGATCTTATAAGTAGCACACTTCAAAAAAGGATCAGAACAACACATTTAAGCGAACAATATTATGCTTTCAATTGGACCTCATCAGGTTTAACTAATATATATATATATAAATTTACAAATAAGTATCATCAAATATAAACCAATCATGGTGTTTTGTCTATAGGATTATACGATTATTATTATTATTTTATTATTGCTCCCTTGGGTTCCTAGTGGAACATAGGGCTTCAACTGCACGTCTCCATTTTCTTCTGTCTTCTGCTGTACTTTTCGCCTGCATCCATGTTAATCCATATTCTTTCAACTCCACTTCACACGATATCCTCCATGTCACCCTTGCATTGACGTCCCACACGCCGCTTCCCTTTCGGGTTCCACTCGAGGGCTTGACGCGCGATGTCACCCAGCGGTCTCCTCAGCGAGTGTCCGATCCATCTCCACTTTCTCCTGCATATTTGTTGGTTGGCGATTGGTTCTTGCTTTGTTTGTTCCCATAATTCCTTGTTGGTGATTCTTTCCGGTCATCTGATCTTCAGTATAGAGCCAGCGAAGACAGTTGTTAATAAAGGTCTGCAGCCTTTTGGAAATATTCTTTGTGGTCCGCCAAGTTTCTGATCCGTATAGAAGAACTGACTTTACGTTTGTTTTGAAAATCCGAATTTTGTTGGTGATGCTGAGTGACGAAGATTCCCGGATTGATTTCAGGCTGGTGAATGTGTTTCTCACCTTCCCGATTCTCGCTCGATTTGACATCCTCGTCCGCTCCTCCTGTAGTTGAGACAATGCTCCCTAGATGACAAGTGAATGAAGTAACCTCTTTCAAATCCCTCCCGTTGATGGTGATTGACGTTGGATGTTGTTGGATAATACGATGGTGAATATAAATTGTACAATTAGTCATAATAGTAGTAATGATAATAGTAATAGTAAAAAATGTTCCTATCAATAATGAGGATGAAAAAGTGGGGCTATCTGCGATAACATGAATAGTGAAAAACAGCATAATTAAAAGAACAAATGTTCAGGTGGAAGTAGTCGATAAAGGCCAATGAAAACAAATGAACCAATTAAGTAATGCTAGACTGATTCTAAGGGAAGTAAATGAAACACGTTTTTAATGAAGACGTGATAAGATTAAGGGATGACAAGAAAGGAGTTGAAAATATATAAAGAAGAGGTGGTGGAGAAGTCATCAGTTGGTTGTATTCTAATAGGCCAAGGGATGGACAATGGCTGTATGAACTTCTTTTGAATGAAGGCATAGTTTAGGTTTAATAGTTAGAATGCCTATCGCGTCAGTTGTGTGCAGTAGACGAATACGAAGTCTATTGGAAAGATTCGGTGTGATACGATGAATTACTTTGAAAGCTCTCGTTTTCTCCACTGCATGACCACCACTACCAACTAAATGTGAAAAAATTGAGCTACAGATTATTTTTGTCTATCCTTTGAGAAACCCCAATGAAAGATGTTTACTAGTGACACGTTGGCTAAGCTGTCTAGTAGTACGCCTAACATAAGGATTAATCGATAAAGTAACACAACAAACAACCATTATAAGCATATGAATTGTACTCTGTACCCTGGCTCTTAGCATACCCATACTGTTGGCAATTGTTATAAATGTGTAGTGTAAATTTTGATTCAATCTGATTATTGTTGAATATTTGCCAGTAACTCCTTGTGTTAGCTCTAACAAGAGGGATTTGATTGATTGGTTACAGGATTTCATCATGAGCTGACATCGGTTAGGGGAAATATTGGGAAACCAGCCACAGGGAGTATTAGGTAGCCAGCTGTTTCGTCAGCCTCTTCGCTGAACTGAGTATTTTGTTTTCATTAATTTTCGGTAGGTAGGTTATCTTCAAAATGCCATGTACCCTGCTTCACTGATTTCCCTATGCCACTTGTACCATTTCGATGTGCTCACTACAACGTTGAAATCTTCATATTTAACTTTTCATCTAACTTTTCTGTTGTTTTTTGTTTTTTATTTCACATTTTTTCATAGCATGTTAAAGATTTCTTATCACGTACTATTCTGGGTAAAAATGTTAGTGAAGCTGAGAAAACATCTACTCTGGTAACTCCAAGCTTTTTATACGCTCAAGTAAGCACAGCATTTGTGGTAGCTGGTGCTATTGGAGCATTCTGTTGTGGTCTTATAGCTGATAAACTTGGCAGGTAAACAAGAATGATAAAAGCAAACAACTTTTATCACTATGATCTTATGATAATCTAAAATTTATTGAACTGATCTTATTCTTGTTGACATACATTTCACTATATATATATATTTCCTTCACGTTCCCCAGTGGAACATAGGATTTCAAGCTATTGGCTTGAAGTTTCTGTAGCAGTGGCGTTTATTTTTACAGGATGGGGTTGCTAGCCTTATGCTCAACCTTCCCTCTTAACCAGCATTATATCTGGCTCAGAGAGGTAAAGGAGTGTGGCATTGGCCAGAGATCGAACCCCGGACCATGTACATGGTGGTTAGCGAGCGTCCTAACTGCTATACCACTGACGCACACTATATATATATATATCCGATGGCGAATGACTATCCATGAAGAAAAATGCCATTCTTGTACCACAGATAGCATTATCTTTGATGATCAGTAGATTTAACTAGTAGAAATCGACAAGAAACAAATAACAGACTATATAAACGAGAAGTTCAGCATCATACCTTACATAAATATTATTAGTATTAGATGGTTGCAGGCAATCGGCCATAAGGAGCCTTGCTCCACCTAGATTTCGTGCTAGTTGGCACTCACAAGTCAGCAAGGCGTATCTGCAACCTTGATGCAGGTTTGAATCTCAGAAGGGACATGAGTTACTTCCTTCAGGGTTGCAGATATTCCGCTTTGCTGATGAGTGCCCACTGGCACGAAATCTAGGTCCCTCAGCAAGACTTCCTGTGGCCGATTGCCTCCAACCATCTAATACCATTGAATAAATGTACACCAAAATGACGAGCCACCCAGTAGCATGGTGGCCACAACATTGCAAGCTTGACTAATAGAATTCAGTTTGCATCTCGAAGATACGATTAGACACATTACAACACTAGTTACTGACTAGTGTGCAATCATAAAAATTACATAACCATGTTAAATGGTATCAATGAGCCTGACTAGTCCCGTAGTTTTACTGAATTCTAGTAACCATTTCAGTGGAAAAGTTAACTGATATGACATATATATATATACTGCAGTACGTTCAAATTAAATTTGGGACATTTAAACAGATTAAACTGAAACCTGAAGGGCTTCTTGTTACAGCCAAAGAAATTCGATAGTGAGAGAAGTGCCTTCATGATGAATATGCAACACATCTAAGCAACCCAGAAGGCGAGTGGTATATTCTGTCTCATGGAAAATTCCCATTGTAACATGCAGAGAATCAAAACATTTGATTCAGTGAAGAGACACTTTTCAACGAATTTATCATGAAGCTGTACAATCGAATATATAAATGGTTTTTAAGGAGTTATATCCGGTGAGGGAATTGAATCATAGGTGTGAATGCAATACATAGTAATAATAGTAGTATGAAATGCAATAAAAACTAAAGTGTTTGTGATTATACTCACAGTTAAATATCAAGTGGCAAAGCAAATTAATGTCATGTAAAGAATAATTCATAGGATGGATAAAACTTGGAAAAGGGTGTGCAATTATAGGATTAGTAGACAAATCGAATAAAATAAAATCATTACGTAATATCGTGCGAAATTTGATAGCATGGAATTTAACGTTGTAAAAGAGAATTGATTTAGAATGACAAGTGGCTCCAAATGAGCAGGTGAATTGATAAACATACATAGAGTTTCTCAACAGCGGGATGTTGTCCTTCAGGTTATTGAACAGTAATGGTCGACTGGTAAAGGCTATTCTCAGAGTTGCAGCAGGAAATGTTCTTTTCAGGGACTGTGATATGCTTCTTTTAAGGATATAACAAGCTAAGTCACCTTTGAATTCCAAGCTCATGTAAAGTATTTCCTTGGGTTCGGTTGATGAGTGACGTTTTATAGGATTAGAATTTCTATTCTTGTCTATAAATCCAAGGTGGAAATTCATTTTCCATTAGGATTTTCCGCAAAAGGCATAACTCATCTTCCACAGTACCAGGGCTACATATGCGCCGAATGGCAGTGGCAAGCGACCGGAACAGGTGTCGTTTTCGACCAATGGGTACTCAGCTGTAGAAATTCGTCAGTTTACCATTCCATGACAGCTTCCGATAAATCTAACTCTTCAGAGAGTTCCATCGGTCCTCCTTGATAAGTTCACATCGAGGAAATGAATGATTGCCTCGTTCTCCATTTCGAGTGTGAGCTTTATCGCAGGATGTCACTGTTATAACCTAGTCGACTATAAGCGAACACTAACTTCAATGCGATGGCTATAATCTGTCTTAATCACACGTTAACAACAACAATAATAACACCGCCGGGTCACAAAGACAGACGAGAAGACTGGACCTTTATTAAGAGACCTTTTACTGCTTGAAGAGATTGATCCTGAAAAGGTTGACAGAGCTTGCGTATATATATATATATATTTACAAGGACTTTGAGAAGCATTAATGTCATTGATTAATTAAGACTGTAAACAAACAATAGGCTTTCATAGGTCATAAGTTGGGTGGGAGAAAGCCAGGTCATAAATCAGCAAGTGGGGTGAGAGAAGTGCAAACAGACATTTAAAAATGATATGTAGGGAAATTGGGTCTGTATATAACATTCACCATTTAGAGCCCAGAGGAAAACACTGCACACCGCATATTCTAAAATTCTTCCCAAAGTATTCTCAGATTTTTCCCCCTATTTTAGGTGGTTGGAGGTAATTGGCAGGAAGCCTTGGATCTAGCTTTCGTGCTTGCTGATGACTGTCAACTAGCACGAAACCTAGGTCCTCCAGTAAGGCTGCCTGTGGCCTCCAACCGTCTAATATCATCAAATCAATGTGCACCGTGTTAGCAAGCTACCTAGAATATTAGCAATATTGCAAACCTGACTGATGGAATTCAGTCTGTCTGTCTGTCTGTTTTCGACATAGAACTTTGCACAAATGGGCGGAAGTTCAAGTAGCCACACTCCGTGTAGCCCGCGAAGCAAGAGAAGAAAGTACAAGAAAAGCATAATAGAAACAGTGAGCAGAGGTGTGAGACAAAGGAGTAATAAAGAAATACAAAACAGTTTCATTGGAGATCATAAGTCACAAGGAGTGGATGCATCTGCGCTAGCCATTGAGAACGATTTTGAGCCATGTCACCAATTGTTTCCAACCATAGATTTTTGCCGTCCCGAGGACCCCAGCCTGGAAGTCTACACCTTCCTACGTGGCTTAGACCAACTGTTGTGGATTTCATTGACTGGTGCCAAGTTTTTGTTTGACCGCCGCTAGCTTTTTTCCAGCCTGACCCTATATCCGCTAACATTGCTCGTCGAGGGAGGCGATGACTTGGCCCGACCGAAAGCTGCTACCTTGACGTGGTGGTCGGGCTTGAACACCGCAATGATCTATTCAAGCTATACTGGCTGAGACTTATGTCTCTTGAGGTCCTACCAAAAAGCAGCTACTCAATCCAACATCATGACCAATTCAAAATCACAAAATTTCATGCCGGATCGGCTGTGGCCCGGATTAACAACGACCGCGCTCCCTGCTGCCGTGTCACAGGGCAGAAGTGATAAGTATGCTACTGAGGCACACCAAACAAAACAAAACAAAATTCAGTCTGCACCAAACAAAAGACTAGACACACCACGCTAGTTACTAGTGTCCAGTTAAAGTTTTTCGCTTATGTTTTTTTCATTGTGCGTTGGTGGCACATCGGTAGAATGCTCTCCGACCATGCCTCATATGGCCCGGGGTTTGATCCCCAGCCGATGCACTACTTTACTTCAATAAGCTAGTGATAAGACTGGTAAAGAGGGAAGATTGGGCATGAGGCTGACTGATGACTGCATCCCGTAAAAGTAAACACCACTGCTACAGAAACTTCAAGCCTCTACCTCCCAGCTTAATGTTCAACCGGAAACGTAAAGTAATAAAAAGACGAAGGGAAAACATCATTAGGGATTGATTTCTGCTTCTGTGTCACGCAATATACCCTCCACTACTGTTCTGTATGAAGACTCTAGATGCAGAGTAAATATTGAGCATGTTCTACCTTGTGTAAACGTTCTGTTCAGAATAAAACTGTTATTGATAATCGCTGCTCCACAGTAACCTGTGTAGGTGTCCATTCCACAGAATCCATCGAATGTGAGAGCTAGAATATGTGCTATCTGGTTATTGATTCAAGACAAGGCTGCCTACTATCGCCAATGATTTACCTGATTGCAGTAGATTGGATAATGCGACAAACAACGGGTCGGGCAATGAGGAAACAGGCAGAAAATGGACCCACACAAAAAGCATGGAGATCTGAACTTCGCCGATGATGATATATGTCTGATTTCCTATAAAGTGGAAGATATGCAAGTGATAAGCAACAAGTTGGCAGAAAAAGCATCCACAGAAGATAGGACTTCAGGTGAACATACAGGAAACAGAGGTAGGTGATGAAGATTCCTGGCCAACAGTAACAGCAACAGCAACAACAACAGACAACAATCAGCATAAATGGGAGGAGTCTGAAAGAAACAGCCTCCTTCACCTACCTGGGAAGCATCGTCTCAACTACAGGCGGAACTGAGGAGGATATCAAATCCAGAATCAGAAAAGCTAGACAAGCTTTCATTACTCTTAAGTCTGTGTGGAAATCAAGAGCACTCAGCATCAAAAATAAAATCCGGATTTTCAACTCCAATGTAAAGTCAGAGCTACTATACGGATCAGAGACTTGGCCAGCGCGTCATAAAGAGCATCTCAAACAAACTATAGACCTTCATCAACAGTTGTATTCACTCAATACTCAAGATCAGATGGCCAGAAGAGATCAGCAACAGGGATCTCTGGGAGCGAACCAATCAGGAACCGATTGTGCAACAGGAAGAAATGGAGGTGGGTCGGTTGGTCATCCTCTGAGGAAACAAACCATCAAGTGACATCACTAGACAAGCCAGTGCTCGAGTGGAACCCGAAAGGGAAGTGGCGAGTTGGTCATCAGTGTGAGGTTGACTTGGAGGAGGTCAGGTGAAGAGGAGATGAAAGCGTGTGGGCAGACTTGGGGCCAAGAGAAAACTCTAGCAGAGAACCGAACGCAATGGAGACGTGAGCGGCTTAAGCCCTATGTTCCTCTAAGAATTAAAGGGAAACAATAATAATAATATTTGATTCATGACATGTGAAACCCTTATTCATCAATAGTTCTTTTAGTGAAAGCCACATTGACCGATTACACTATTCATAACACTTATTAAGTTGGAAAAGAATATATATATATATATATTTATCAAACACTTGCTTCAACAAATGTTTTTTTCTATCTCTTTTCAATTCATAACAAAAAGGAGAAATGGTTTACTGTTAAATCATTTATTCGCAATACTCGGTGGAGTGTTATGCGGTCCATGCGTGAGACTTGGACAACCTGCTCTCCTATTTGTTGGACGATTTTTAAACGGTTTCAATTGTGGTGTCTCTATTGGTATAGCATCAATGCATCTAACAGAAATAGCCCCAATTTCACTTCGTGGTGGTATTGGTTCTTTGCATCAACTGGCTCTGACTATCGGGATTTGTGTCGCTTATCTGGCTACGCTAACATTTGCTTTTAATACTCCAGATTTATGGCCAATTGCAGTAGCTGTTGGATCTATTCCCCCCTTTATATCACTTATTGTTCTGCCTTTTTGTCCGGAGAGTCCTCGATTTTTATTTATTAAAAAAGGCAAAGTGGCTGAAGCGCGTAAAGCTTTTACCCGACTGAATTGTAAAGATGATATTGATGCTATTTTTGATGAAATGACAGAAGAAATGAGAGTGGCTAAAAGTCTCCCACCGTTTAAATTCACCAAGTTATTTACACAAAAAGATTTACGAATGCCTGTTCTAATTGCTTGCCTTATACAAGTATTTCAACAACTCTCTGGAATCAATGCGGTTAGTTGTTTTCACAGTATTCATGTGGTTTTCCTTTTGTTATCAGTGCAAACTGTGAAAATCACTTTTTTTTATTTTGCTCATGTTTGTAAACAGTTATGTGGTTATATTTGCATAGTTTCTATAAATTTTTAATGTTGTTCGTCAGCTACTGCATGGGATTGCTACTAATCATTGACACTTCTGGTTCATATGATCCGTGATCAAGATTTGATGGAATAGTTGCAAAACAACTGAACCCCAAGTGAAAAAAAATTATATTTGTAAAATCTCAGCGAAATTGAAATGATTAATTCCAACGTTTCCCAAGTTCGGTAGTCTGGTCCGAACTTCTTCAGGGAAAGTAATCGAAATTAACATAACATAGATTTATATATATAAAAAAAGGCATCCCTTGTTCTGGAAACTTTGTCCAATCACATGAGTCATGAAACAGGCATCAATATGTATAATAAACTAAAATTGTATGAACTGTGATCAAAATTTGACTTAAGACTTTTAGAATTAGTCTAATTTTAATGAATTGAATTTTTGATTTTCCCGTCAATTGATTGGACCAAATTGCTCGGTCTCAGGTTGACATGTCGGCTTCTTGTGCAGATGTTTCGACGATGTCCGGGCATTTAGTTAGTATACGATTCGTGGATGGTGGCTAGCAGTGGAATCCAGGATAAAGCGCATTTCGTCCTATCACGGACTCGTCAGCTGCATGTACCTGCATTTCTCAGTGGGTGATGATGTTCCCACCGGGGGTCGAACCCAATGCCCTAGTTTCAAACGCCAAAGCGTTATCCACTAGACCACTTGTGCCACGAGAGCCACCTCTTGTGCAACGGGTCATTTTAGTTATTATTCAACGTGAGACCGAGTACTTCGGTCCAATCAATCGACGGAAAAATCAAAATAATTCAATTCAATTATTGATAGGACCCGTTGCACAAAAGGTGGCTCTCGTGGCACAAGTGGTCTAGTGGATAACGCTGTGGCGTTTGAAACTATGGGCATTGGGTTCGAGCCTCGATGGGAACATCGTCACTGACTCACTGATAAATGCAAGTACATGCAGCTGACGAGTCCGTGATATGACGAAATGCGCTTTATCCTGGATTCCACTGCTAGCCACCATCCACCAATTGTATATTAGTCTACTTTTGTTAAAATATATGTGTATGTGTAGTATAAAATGGTGTGTGTATATGTGTGTGTGGGTGAACAGTAATCAAACATTTGTTAGCTCTTCCATAAGAAGACATAGACTATCGGGAATTTTGACCAAGTATGACTAATTTTTATTTATTATCAAGTATTGGTTTTGTAGGGACTTGTTTGACTGCATGGATGATTTCTTCATGAGTTTACTGACATCATTCAGGGAACCACTGGAAAACCTCAGAGTACTGGACAGCTGTTTCGTCGGCCTAGTTTGGGACTCTTCGGCAGTACGCACCCACCACAGCCGTTTCGAACCCAGGATCTTCTAGTTACAAGGCTAGCTAGCTCGTAGACCATTGAGCTACTGCGACCCGATTCAATGGTCCTTGAATTCTAACTTCTGCCAATTCACGACATAGTGCGACCATTTCTCAATGCCTTCTTCAATGAGTTCCTGCCTCATCTTTAACCTGCTGTACCTTTTTGGTCTCGGCTTCCGACTAGAACCCCTGGTTAACTGCCAGTGGTGCTCTAACTGATGTCAGCCCATAATGAAATCCCCCTTGCGAACAAACAAACAAAATCCCTACAAAATCAATACTTGAAAATTACCTGTTTTACTCTGTGTGAAACTAAGTTTATCATTTAACATGAAAAACTTGATATTTTTTTTCTTTTTGTTGTTATCTGCTTTTTTCAGGTGATTTCATATTCATCCACAATGCTAAAAACCGCTGGAATTCCAGACCAGTATATTCAATTCTGTGTTGTAGCCGTTGGAGCAATTAATGTCTTCATGACAGTAATTTCTGTCTTTCTCATTGAACGTGCTGGACGTAGAACTTTACTTTTATGGCCAAGTGTATTACTCGCCTTTTCATTACTATGTTTAACAATCACGGTGAATTTAGCCAATTCCCTGAAGGATCCTTCAGCAGCTCGTGCAGCTGGCATAGTTTCAGCTGTCTTTATCATTCTTTATATATGTGGTTTTGCGCTAGGGCTTGGCCCAGTACCTGGTCTAATTGTTTCTGAAATATTTCGACAAGAACCAAGAGCTGCAGCTTATTCATTGAGTCAAGGAATCAATTGGCTGTGTAACTTGTTGGTGTTATTCAGTTATCCAAGTATTAATGTGAGTGAACCTTTATCATTGTTATTAACTATTTTTGTTTTGACGAATTTGACCACAGATATTGATATCAGTTAAAGAAGCATTGAAAACCAGCTATAGGGAGCACTGGATAGTACTGGACTGTTTCATCCAACCTACCGACAGGGATGGAACCCAGGACATTCCTGTAACAAGGTAAGCAAGCTCGTATACCATTCAGTCAGTGGGACTAGACTAATCAATGACATGTCCATGAATTCAAACTTCCAACCAATTCGTGATTTAGCGTGACTGACATCAAGCAATGTCATCCGCGGGAACTGCATTCTCCAAACTGATATAAATCCATGATGAAACTCACAAAAAGCAAATCTAATCCTTACATATCAACTCTTACAATTTATTACTATTTTCCACAAGGTGTTTTTAAATTTTGGTTCATCTTAGTTCTATTTGAACAGTTAGTTAATTGAATAATAACGATGAAAACTCTGGATGAGGCTCTGATTTGGTTAAACTGCAATTAAAAATCTCTCAGTTATCGTCTGAGTAACTTACAACAGTTTATTTCCACAGATGTATGTCATTGGGAAGTTGTTTGTTTATGCAACATTCTATCTGCTGATCTTTTCTGGTCATCTCATATCATGATGATTTCTAAGAAAATATTCCGTCTTACCTTCTACATCAGGAAGTTAAGACATTCTGGAATAACCCAACCCTTACTCTTACGATTCCTTAACTCTTGCATCCTGCCTATTATTCTTTATTGTCCCCCCTTAGTTTTGTCAGGGCTACTGAAGAAAGACTATACCGTATTACGTAGGGTGTTAAAGGTAGTCAACAGGGTAGGCCACAGGGTGCCACTTAACCAGCTTGTTAATATTCTGGTCGACAGTCACTTGGACTCATGTGAAAAATGGGCTAAATCCATTCTATCTATCTTACTCACACCACCCTATTCATTCACAACTCTCCCCCTGTTGTATCTCTTCAGACAGGACCAGAAGTCTATATAGAAAACTATATGCTCGTACTAGTAAGTACAATAACTCAACCATACCCTACTTAGCTCGTGTTCTGTGTGATAAAGAAAGCATTAGGCGTGAAACCTATAACTTGTTAAATAGTCAGTAGAACAAATGGATCTCGTCTTTCCAATTCAAATGATTCATAGGTACAACGTTTTCTTTCTTTCTTTTCCTTTTCTCTCTTCTTCTCTGTTATGTGCTGTTTTGTTTCTTTCTTCCGCTTACGCCAGTAAATATGCTAGTTAGTATCTACTTTTCTAACACCTTCAAACATTCTGTTCAATTTTTGGCTTTGCTACCGATATACCAATATGTTGTTGTCATAATGAACTGAGATTACCCAGAATCTATGTAGAATTTTATTTATTGTTAATGTACAGACTGGATGCAATACTATAGGGAAATTCTGAGAATTCCATTCTGTATCACACATACTGTTTTGGAATAATGCAAATTATCATTATCATCATCATCATCAATCAGCATAAATGGGAGTAACCTGAAAGAAACAGCTTCCTTTACCTACCTGGGAAGCATCGTCTCAACTACAGGCAGAACTGACGAGGACATCAAAGCCAGAATCCGAAAAGCAAGACAAGCTTTCATTACTCTCAAATCTGTATGGAGGTCAACAGCACTCAGCATCAAAAATAAAATCCGAATTTTCAACTCCAATGTAAAGTCAGAGCTACTATACGGATCAGAGACTTGGCCAGCGCGTCATAAAGAGCATCTCAAACAAACTATAGACCTTCATCAACAGTTGTATTCACTCAATACTCAAGATCAGATGGCCAGAAGAGATCAGCAACAGGGATCTCTGGGAGCGAACCAATCAGGAACCGATTGTGCAACAAATAGGCAGGAAGAAATGGAGATGGATTGGCCATACGCTGAGGAAACCATCAAGTGATATCACTAGACAAGCCATCGCTCGAGTGGAACCCGAAAGGGAGGCGGCGAGTTGGTCGTCCAAGGGGGACTTGGAGGTGCGCAGCTGAAGCCCTATGTTCCTCTAGGAACTAAAGGATACAATAATAAATAATAATAATAATAATCATTATTTATTAAAAAATCACTGTGGTTGATTTAAGTCACTCACACGTTTCAGCAGAAATATAATCCTTGATGGGATCATTTACTGACTGCTGGATGATAAAAGTCATGTCAGGACCAATGTCATTTCTGAGATACATAGACACAACGCTAGTAAATATCATTGTGAGTATGAGTCCTGACACCCATTTTCAGCATTTATCACAATGTTGCATCTAATTTCCTCAAATTATAAATAAAATTATTCACACAGAAAATTTTCCACAATTACAATAGGGGTTATGTCAAAAACATGCAGCATATAAAATGGGAATAATAATAATACAAGTGAAAATTGCCGTGGGCTTGTTTCACACAGTATTGGCAATGTGGTATAGAGATCCTAGCATGTTTAAAAATACGGCATATAATGTTCTACTTATATGATATGGTGAGGGGAAAAACGAAGATTACAGCAGTCATAGAAATAAGTTGGTGTTTGCAATTATGAGAGTAAAACAAAGAAGCAACAGGACCATAAATATAATAGAAATAATAAAAGTAAAACTTGAAGGTAAATAAGGATGGTTGGAGGAAATTGTTTATTTACTAGATGAAGAAAGGTTAGTTATTTCTTGCCTGACGCTATTTTCATCACGTAAAATACGTGCCAAGTATGGTATCATAGAATTTTTATACTTAGACATGCGAACATACAGTTTACTGAAGTTACTTCTTGTTCTACCTGCGGAGGGGCAAGGTGAAAGCTGAGGGTAAATTGGATGCTCCAAGTCAGACAAAATCCCTCTAGCAAATTTATTGCACAAATTCAAGTGGTTATCGATAACAACATTAGTTATGTGGTGCACTGGGACACCACTCACCCTACTGACAGTCTTCAGCATTCTATGAATTGTGACATAGTCCTTTTTTAAGCAGTAAACCAGGAAAGAATAAGCAGGGGTGAACAATAAAGAAGAATAGGTAGGATGCAAGATTTTATGAACTGTAAGAGGAGGGGTTGGTTGAGTTATACCCGAGTGTCTTAACTTCTTAATTGAAAATGTCAGGGGGAATATTTTACTAGAGATCGCTAAGACATAGGAAGACCAGGAGAGATCAGAAAAGAAGAGAATAAGTCCAAGATACTTACTTAATTTCTGATTTAATTCCTATATCATTGTCGTCAGTCTTGCAACTGTCATGAGAATCGACGACTTCTTTTAACTGACAGTGGAGATGCATTTTCACCCTTTATGGTAAAATAGAACTCTCTATTGTTCTCCTTCTATATTACTCTTCTTTTTCCCTCACTCACACATCTGTTTATTATCTCTCTTTACTCTCTTGTGTTGCTTTGTGTGCTACAAGGAGGTGTAGTACGGCAACTGAAACTGCTGCATATTTGTGCAAGATTTTGCGTAGAAACCAGTTAGTCAGTTAGTCATATGCTTCGTTTTTTATACCAACTGGAATGCATAGAAAAGGAATTTTTATTGTAAGAAATATTTGAATGCCTCCTGTGTAAATTCCTTTTTACTGCGTAGTTACACTCTGCATAGTGAAATGAATCACATAAAAACGCTACATGTGTGTGCACATATTTATCGAAGTATTTAGGATAAAAAAAATGATGTGATAAATGCTGACAAATGTGATAGTATGATTATCTATGATACATCGAATAAGTTAGATTAAATATATGTCATTTTTCCATAAATATATTCAGTTATCTATGATGAATGGATAGGTTTATTTATAGGTGATATTGTATCATGCATATAGTTTATTTGCATCACAGTTAGCATGTGTCACTCGAGTAAGGCATAATAATAACCATTACAGATAGACAAGCAATCAGTGAATAGTTTCATGTTTTCAAGTTTTGGATTTTTTAGGGAATTTTTGGTTTGACTGATCGGTTTGGAGGATTTCATCATGAGCTGACTGACATTTGGTTAGAGAATCATTCAGAAAACCAGCTACAGGGAGTACTGCACAGACAGCTGTTTTGTCAGCCTAGTTTAGGACTGACTCTTCAGAAGTACGCACCTACCATAGCCGGTTTGAATCCAGGACTTTCTGGTTACAATTCGAGCGAGCTTGTAGACTATTAAACCACTGGGACCTGATACGATGGATAGCCCATGAATCCTAACTTCTGTAAGGAATCCTTACAAAAGCAATACTTGAAAATTGATCTGGTGCTCAGTAGTGAGTGGTCTTATTCAGGCATTTTGAAGTGGACGAGCTACGTTAAGAACTCGTAGAATTTAGAATTCATGGGCTGGTCATTGAAGAACTGGGTCCCTGGAGTTTAATAGTCTATGACCTCGTTCGGCCTGCAACGAGAATGTCCTAGGTTCGAGCTGGCTGTCGGTAGGTGTGTACTGCTGAAGTTTGACATTTATTTAAATAAACACTCACGAATACTTAAATTAGGTCTAAATAACAAACCATTAATTATAGAAGCGGTTTATTCCTCGTTTAAGAGAAAAGAACAGGAAGTTCATCAAAAATATCTTTTTGGTGATTTCATTCTCAATCTTGCCTCAAAATAAATACCTGGCGCGTTTCGTGAAGACGAAGATGAAACCAAAGCCGAAAAAGGGGGAGAATGCACTTCAGTGGCAAAGAAAACGTCAGATATTTGAATCTGGAATTCAGGGAAGACTTAGCAGCAGATATCCTTAAGAAGAGAATATTCACTTCCTTACAGAAAACGTTTTATGCAATGACTTTAAGAGGGATATTCTCCAACTGTTCACTGCTTCGGATCTATTTGAAGAACAAACTTCCTAATATGACTACTTCAATTTGCATATATCAGTTCAGAGCCTTATATGGAGCTAGGTACATAGGTCGTTCTGTGCGGGTCCTATCAAAACATGTTAGGGAACATTACTCATCATAGTTGTAAAGAGATGGCGTTAGATCAGTCGGAAGAGCATTTATTGAACACCTTGTCAACACCAGTAGCATCATCCAAACTGACTCATCATTCAGAGTCATTTAAAAAGTAAGCGAAAATCTGTCACCAAAGGCAGCGTGTTTCCGACTTCTCTCTAATGCAGAAGCTCCCGCCATATACATTGAAAACAATCGAAGCTGTGTGCAAAAAGGAAGCAAGTCCAAGCTTCTACACTTACATTTTGTAAACAAATGTATATAAATGGGATTGCACAGCATTCTAGGCAGAAAAGCGAAATTCATGTAGTCAGTTGAAATGAAGAAAGAATGAACATATTTACAGACAGTATAATACGAACTCGTCTCAGTTAGGGGACTCTCTTCAACTGCACTCATCCTAGATAAATCAACTATACATTTAAAAAATGGTGTCTGAACATCCCTTATACGTTGACTTCAAGAAGAAGTATCTCTAAGAACAGAAAACACCAAACTCATTCCATTTTATAACACAGTATGCTCGTTAACCCAGCCAAGAATAGATAAATATCCTTCTCTGCACTTACCAATTCAGCTGCGCTTGGGATAGTAAGTACATAGGAAGAACTGAGAGGAGAGAAGAGCGTCTACTAGATTCTCCGAACATATTCCCAAAAGTCTCCATCCCGTCTAGTGAAAGAAAGCAAAGTGTTCCCAAGCACTATTGCCAGACACCCAATTGACTGACACGGGACATACACTGGAAATTAGTCAGGCTTTCAAAATAATCGATGCTTAAAAGAAAAAACATGTTAACTTCAGTCTACAGAAGCCACTGTCACCTTCAAAAAGACTTCGACCCAACCTTGGCATACAGAAAGGTTATGTGACTAATCTCTCACTACCCTGACCGGCGTCCCTGTTTTTTTTGTTCCACCTTGTCTTTTGTTTCTAGTCTATCCTTGTTTCTAAGCAAAATCTGAACGCAACCCCACCCCCTTTTTCTACTTACATCATCTTCGAATTTATATTGCTTATGCTTATATTCCCTATATTCTATATCTTGAAGTCACTGTAAAAAGAAGTGTGTTCAGACATACCATTTTGTAGCATTAAAATTGATTTATTTGCGATGTACAACGCAGTTGAAGAGAGAGAGAATATAAGACGAAATATAATAAGCTCATATTATCCTGTCTGCAAATATGTATGTTCATTCATTCTTTCTTTCATTCGTTATTTCAAAAAAAGTGAATAGTCTCATATTTTGATTGGATGCAGGATTTCATCATGAGCTGACTGACATTAGTTAGAGAACCACTGGAAAACATGGGAGTACTGGATAGCTGTTTCGTGGGGCTAGTTTGGGGACTCTTCATAGTAGGCACACACATTTTGACGTGGTCGCACTATGTCGTGAATTGGCAGAAGTTACGATTCATCGGATAGCCATTAGATTGGGTCCCAGTGGTTCAGTGATCTACGAGCTAGCTCACCTTGTAACCAGAAGGTCCTGAGTTTGAACCCCGGTGGGTGCGTACTGCTGAGGAGTCCCAAATTAGAACGAAACATCCGTCTAGTACTTTCAGGTTTTCCAGTGGTTCTGTAATTGATGTCAGCTCATGATGAAATCCCCCGACCGATCAATCAAACCAAAAATCCCTACAAAAAATCAATACTTGAAAATCTCATGTTTCTTTAATAAGGCATTTATACGACAAATTTCAAGAGATGATATCTTCATTTCGTAGTTTCTTCACAACCACTTTACAACTAACATGGTTAACAATAATAAAATAAAATAAAGTTCATGAAAATTACTCAGTCATGTTGTCCACGGTAGGCGAAGATTGAAGTCTATTGTTTTGACTGTACACACAGTTTAGGCTGTATGTGATTAATCCATAGGGATCCCATCACCTTCAACAAACAACCTTGTATTAGAGTTATGTGATGCAATAATTGTAAAACAGTCATTAATATTGATTTTGTGACCTGACATTAATAAGTGTTTTGCAATGGATGATGCTGGATCTCTATTCAGTTTAAGTGTTTTAGGAATTTTCTATACGTTTTAATAACCATTTTGAAACATGCTCTTTTCGACGACACTGGAACATTCTATTGGTTCTACCTATATAGGTGTCACCGCAGCTGCAGGTGAACTTGTAGATACAGTTTGAGGCGAGTAGAGTTCACAGAATTTCGTCCTTTAATCGTAGGTACTGGGATCGAAAATGTTCGGCATGTAAGGGTAAAAGAGATTCGGTGTAGAATGTGCGTTTTATGGCTGACCGAGGTGTCTTTGAGCTGTCAACTGCATAATCTGGTCACCCTTGAATGTTAGGTTGTCAATAAAGATATCTTTCTTTGGTACAGAAGCTGTCTTTTCGAGATGTGTTCTATCCTTACTATGACAGGCAATGAAGTTCTCTGGATAAACACTAGCTAATAAAACTGAATGTGTGGGTTGAAGCTCATCCATCAACGTGTCTCTCGTGCATAATTTTTGGGCTCTTGAGAGCAAACATTTCACTAGGGAACGTTTATAACTGGTAAAATGAAAATATTGTCCACTGCATCCATGTCTGTTCACGAAAAACAGATCGCTGAATCATTCCATCATCTCTCCTGGTCATTCATTATAATATCCAGGAAACCGAATTTGTTATTCGATTGTAGTTCAGAAGTCACTCGGATATTTGGATGAATATGATTAAATAGGGTAATGAAGATATCAATAGATTTACTATTATTACTTTTGCTTTTTTTATTTAACTGAGAAATTGTCATGATCTTTATTTTATTATTGTTAACCATGTTAGTTGTAAAGCGGTTGTAAAGAGACTACGATATGAAGATGTCACCTCACGAAATTTGTCTTTTTAATGCCTCATTCAAATTTAGAAAGAAGAGAACACGAAGTTCAGCAAAGATGACGATCTTTTCGGCGATTCCATTCTCAAAAGCACCTATACAACCGCATTTATATAGATTATTTTACATGGATACAAATATTATTCTTTGTTTAATTCCACATAGTAACGAAGGTGATAATAATTTTCAACTTGATATGAAAATTTGAAGGTACGAATATAGATTACAAGGGGCTAAGAGACAAGATTTCATAGGATTAGAAAATAGTTACAACGTATGCCAAAATTAATATTTGATAACTGGAGAAATAATTGTAAGTCAAATAGAAGGTGATGATTGTTTTCAACTTGATATGAATTACAAGAGGCTTGGTAACACAGGGATAGAATGAATTACAGCTGTGAACAAACAAAATGAGCATGGAAACAAATTGAAATCAAAATTTTCAACTTAAAATGTTAGTTAGGAGGTATAAATATAGATTAGAAGAGGCATAGAAACAAAAATTACACAGGATTAGAATATAATTGTAAAATTATTATTCTAAACGGATTAAAAGTGTGATCAGGAGGAGCATGGAAACAAACTTAAAATAACTGGTTTTATAACTTAAAAAAATAAGGTGAATTTAATGAAGACTCAGGGAATAAGGATCAGACACACGGCGAACGAAAAAAAATGCTCAAAAGGAAAAGAGAGAACGAAAAAAGCACGAGGAAGCAAAAGGAACATACCAACCTAGGTCACCCATGGTAGTTGTAGAGGTTGAACTAATTTCTTTTGAACACACACAGCTCCGGCTTCTCGATGCATATTGCAAGGGCTTCTGTAGTACAAAGAAGTCGGAAACATACTGCTTTTGGTAGGTTTCTGTTGATTTTGTAAACGACACTTTGATAGAATCACTTGAGATGTTGTGAAGGGGGCAGGGGCGGTGTTGATCAGAAGATGTTCAATAATACCACTTCTGATTGAACCCGTGCCTTCTCTTAGCAGCCACGCTAGGTAATAATGTTCTCTAACACCTTTCAAATTTATCAAAGGGGGACTAATTTGAACAAAGCAAGAACTACAGTTTCAGCAGAATAAAATGGAACCATCTTTTATTTCGTTGCCTTCTCGTCAGCTCAGCTGCTTACAGGCCAAAGACATTATTAAATATATACCTACAAAAACAATTTTGACATACTTGCACAGAGTTAAGTTTAAACAAAAGTCAATCGATCAATATACTCATACACTAAAAATATATACATATATAAATATGCAGTATTAACCACTATTCCGAAAAATTATAATCAAACACAATGGAAACTTTTAGCATTTCGCATTCGGAGGAAAGAGAGGTGAAAATATCCAGTTACCAGGTCGAGCAAAGAAAGACTGATAACCGATTCTTTCTGCTGGACGCATAAATCAGGTCTCAGGCGCTTGATGGAAATGACTACTTCAGCAAACTTAGGGAGAATTGAGCTCGTTTGCCTACTGATAATTTTGAACGACATTTCAACGTCCACCCCATGACCGGTGTCGAGGAGATGCCTAGCAATGGATGGCACTGTTTAAAGCATTTGTTCCCCCTTTAGACATAAGCTTTTTGGTACATGTTCAGAAAATCGTATATTTGCCCTCCTTTCTGTCCTTTCAATGTAATTGCTCCCGCAGATACATGTTTTAAGTTTGTTTATGTTTACGTTTTTTCTTTCTTTCTTTGCTCTTGTTCTTCTTCTCCATAGGATGCAATCGGTGGTTATTCATTTATACCCTTTCTAATCATCGTTGTCGCCTGTTGGATCTTCTTCTTTTTATATATGACAGAGACAAAGAATCGTACATGTGATAGTATCGCGAGAGATTTAGCTAGACCAAAAATAGTCGCCTGTTCACGACCATCAAGACTACAGCATAAAAATGAAGAACCATTCGAATCAAGTGATTGAAATGAAATGAAGAGTAATCACAGGAACCATGATAAATTCAATTTTCTACCAGCTAACTAAATCACTAATTCCCTAACTAACCAACTAACTAACGAACCAACTATTAAACGAGATGTATTCAGTCCCTTGATTATCTATTTTTGTGTATGTTTGTGTGTGTGTGTATGTGTGCGTGCTCGTGTCGTATCATCAGTTTTCATCAAAATATCAATTGCATTTCTACATTTTCTTTTGATGAATACATTTTTTTTTTGAAAAACGTGAGTCTAATATCAACTTGTAATGAACATAATTCATTCCAAGAAGAAGAACTGGAAGTTCTTCTTCTTCTTCTATTCAGCCAATTCCATTTTTATTCAAAATGTGTGATGACAAGAAGCTTAATAATGATGAACACGTATTTGTTCTGATCGCGTTGGCGTTTTTTCTTTCTTATTTTAAATTTTATATGTTTTTGTTTTTTACGTATTTTGTATGTGTACAATAATCACTTTTTCCCATTATTATTATTTTTTGCCTCATCACAAAACATATTTTTGTGAAAAATACATGATTTGAAATAAATTCCAGAGTAAAGTTTCTTTTATTTCATCATTTGTTGAAAATCGATATTTTGACGAGTTCGATAACGGATTGATATCAGTTAGAGAACCAGTGAGAACCAGCCACATGGGGTACAGAACAGCTGTTTCATCCTAGTCTGGGAATCATCTACAGTACGCACCCACCGAGAGGGTTGAAACCCACTACCTTACGGTAACAAGGCAAACGAGCTCGTATACCATTCAGCCACTGAGATGGGACTCCTCAATGACCAGTCTATGAATTCTAACTTCTGTCAAATCGTGATTAGCGCGACTGACTCCAACCCATGTCATCAGTGAGACATCCATCCTTGCACAGTTGACTGGTTGGACTTTACCTGGCCACAACTTATTACTAGAACTCCGCGACACGCTGTCATGTGGCAAGCTTGCCTAGTACTCGGAATGTCCTGTGGGTGCTTACTGATGATGATTTCCAAACTAGGATAAAAAAGCTGACTGTCAGGAGAAATGAAACAGTGTTACTCCCTATTGTTAGATAGACTATATAGCAACATGCATTCACATACCGCCCCCCCCTCCCGCCACTAGAAGTCTCCACATTTTCACAACACCTAAAGAGTAATTATAGAAGACGATTTAAGACAAATGCGTATTTTCGGTAAAATTCTTATCAGGCTTCACATTACCTTACACAATGAAATATAAATAGTCATAGGTATTTGAATTGATCTGGTAAATAAAATACGAAATTCAAGATTGGCGAAAATTCAGCTTTTACAATCCTATAACAAGGTGCCACACGTCGACTCCCTGCATTGCTAGGCACAGCTGAGGCAGTTGCCATAAAGATTTTTTTAACCAAATCTCTGTGTTCAGAAAACGTCCGTTCAATCTCGTTCCCTTCCTTAGCCTTCGCGCCAACCCTAAAATAGTCATTCCTCACGGTTGCACCAGATAACTTTGAATACAATCTTTTTATAATTTTATTTTTTTTGTAATGCAAACTATATTATCAATATCATGCTGTGATGTGGTTGTACATTTCATTCTCAGTTTCACAATTTATTGTTATTATTATATTATCTAATCGCTAAGTGACAATTATTTCTTCAGGATTTTGGTCAGAAGGTTGCCTTTGAATGCCACATTCATGTAAAGCACCTTCTTCGACCCAGGAATGAGTTGTTCTTTAGTCAGTATGCACCAGCCGAGAGTGTGGAAACCCACTGCCTTTCGGTTACAAGGATGGCGAGCTCGTATACTATTCAGCCACTGGAACCCGACTCATCGATGACCAGTCCATGAATTCCAAACTTCTACCGATTCGTGATTTCGCGCTACTGGTACCAACCAATGTCATCGGTGGGACATCTCACCTCACGACTTCTCACTAGAACTCCAGGAAAATATGTCCTGTAACAAGTCACTTACAAACTAAACTCTTAAAAATTAATCTGATGCTCTATAGTGACTTGCTACAGGACAGAGTCTCCTGGAACTCTAGTGGAAATTGTGTGGACGGATGTCCCGTAAATGACACTGGTTGATGCCAGTTACGCTAATTCATGTACTTGTCATTGATCAGTCCGGTCCCAGTGGCTGAATAGTATACGAGCTCGCTTGCCTTGTCACTGAAAGATCCTGGGTTCCAACCACAACTGGTGGGTACGTACTACGGATATCAGTCCGTGGTCAAACTCATAAAATCAAATCTAATTCTTATAAACCAATTCTTGAAAATCGATGTGTTATCATGAAGCATTTCTAACTTAAAAGTTGAAACTGTTGATAAAATTTATTTGATGACAGTGTCGCTAATTTGAAACTACTGAAAACTGAATTCATATAAACTGTGATCAATATTTGATCGAATAGTTTCAAAATAAATGGTCACCTAGTGATGAGAAGTAATTCCAAAGTTTAGTAAAAAGAAAATCAAATGATAAAGTTAAAATAAACATTTTCAGAAAGTCGACAAATTCGGAAAGATACCTAGACTACTACTATTCAGCACATCCGTCTACCTTCAAAGTAACTGTGGTCAAGAATCTAATTAGCAGGGCCAAACGTTCTAGTTAATTGAGGAGGAAAAGATTAGCAGGAATTTGACCATCATCAACATTTAATTGCATGCCCAGACATAATAATTTGCTTTATTCCAAAACAGTACTTGTGATACACAGAATGTAATTCTCAGCATTTCACTACAGTATTGCATCCAGTTAGTACATTAACAATAAATAAAATTCTACATAGATTATGGGTAATCTCAGTTAGTTATGACAACAACATATTAACATGTCGGTCGGTAGCAAAGCCATAAATTGAACAGTGTTTGAAGGTGTTAGAAAAGTAGATACTAACTAGCATATTTACTGGCGTAAGCGGTAACAAAGAGGTGTAGATATACAGAGTGTGAAAGAACGAAGAAGAATGTTTTAAGTAGAGTTTGTAAGGACGACAGAAACAAAACAGCACATTACAAAAACAACAAAGAGATAGAGAGAAAAGGAAAAGAAAGGAAGAAAACGTTGTATCTATAAATGATATGAGATGGAAAGACGAGATCCACTTGTGATATTGACTATTCAGTAAGTCATAAGTTTCACGCCTAATGCTTCCCTTTATCGCACAGAACACGAGCTAAGTAGGTAGGGTATGGTTGAGTTTTGTACTTACTAGTGCAAGCATATAGTTTTCTTATATAGGCTTGTGGTTGTGCCTGATGAGATACAAGCGGAGAGTTGTGAATGAAAAGGGTGGTGGTGTGAGTTAGATAGATAAAATGGATTTAGCCCATTTTTCACATGAGTCCAAGTGCCTGTTGACCAGAATATTAACAAGCTGGTTAAGTGGCACCTGTGTCCTACCTACCCTGCTTGCAACCTTTAACATCCTGCACAATAAGATATAGTGTGTCTTCAGTGGCCCAGGAAAAACTAAGAGTGAACAGTAGAGAATAATAGGCAGAATCCGAGAGTCAACGAATCGTAAGAATAAGGGTTGGGTTACCCTAGAATATCTTAACTTCTTGATGTAGAAGTTAAGACGGAATATTTTCTTAGAGATCATCAAGATATGAGATGACCAGAAAAGATCAGCAGATAGAATGACGCGTAGGTATTTAATTTCAGACTTGGTTTCTATTTCAGTGCCGTCTATGTTGCACACCTAGTGAGTGCTAACCATCTGCGTAAGAAGTCAACATGTCAACCTGAGATCGAGCAATTTGGTCCAATTAAACGGCGGAAAAATCTAAAAAGCTGAATTAATACTGCCTATGTATTTGAACATTCTATTTTAATGGCGTTTAGTATAAACCAAAACCACACGCTGGCTCAGTGATTAGTTAAAGAATATAAAAATTGCATAAAAATAAATAGCGGTTTAATCATTTGAAAATATACCTTGCCTTCTGTCTCTTGCCTTCTGGTGTTACATTACTAATAATCTGTTATGTAACAATATTGTACTCTGGTACTCTGTTAAATTTGATCTGATTTCAATGCAATATTTTTACAAATGTCTTTATAAGAAGCCGATAGATCATGTTATTCCCACTTTAAAAACGTATAACTGTTGACTGTAGACTTTATGTGGATATTGTATGAAAGAAGTAAGCCCAGATTTATGATGTAATCTGAGCGGAACGCTTTCTCTTAGACAACACCTTAGCTAAGTAAAACACAATCAAAAATCAATAGTTAATCAACTGATAAGTCATATGAGAGACAGGATCATAAAAAACTTTAATATTATTATTGTTATTATTATTATTCCAAAAAGTCAAGTTTTAGTTATTATGTGTAAACCTTGTGCATTGTGGTAGTAAGTAATTCCATATTAGTTTGCTTATTAGATGTAACACAGTGAGTGAAACAGTATCAGTATTTACTGGGTGACAAGGGTTCGAACATAATTTATTGTACATAATCATATCAATTGTAAACACACGACTTCGAAACTTGAGTTTTATAGTTTTTTTGTCCTCTCCTATTTGTCATCGTAGGCGTGGTAGTAGAATCTTCCAGATATCTGGGTGGATAGGTGTTGAATCATTCCTATTGCATGCTTTCTCTTCAGTTGATTCGATAAACAATGCTTCTGTTATGAATCTCTCCCACCACCCTGTTAGTTGTATTAGATTTTAAAACTGTCATCTTATCCCATCCAGCCTATTTCTATGGTTGTGTGTAATTGGATGTGCCGCAGTGAGTGGTAAAACTGAACTATTTCCTAGATTTCTAATCTCATTCGGGTCAACTAATCTACATTTTGCTAGGTTTTTATGCTCGGCTAGTTTGACTGCCCCTGTTCCACTAGTCTGACCTATGTATTTGACCTGACAATCATTGCAGGCAGGGTATTAGATAAACTAAACTGTTTGGTTTTAAAGGCTCCACAGGACTGATCCTTCAGCCGACAAAGCTTGTCTTTAATATTAATATTACTATCACTTCTAAGACAGGAAGTAATACATCTAAGAGAAGCCTTGAAACTTAATAATTATCCGGATAAACTAGTCGAGAAATATGTAGGGAAATGTAAAAATAAAATAAATAATGATAGTAGTGATAGTGATAATAATAATATGAATGACGACATGCATGCAAAACACGCGAAAGATAATGACAACACCAACAATAAGGAATTTAAGTCATCAGTAGTAATTCCAAACAAGGAAGGACCCTCAGAAACCTTACACAGAATTCTTAACAAGACAGGAATAAAAGTGGCTGGGATTCATACCAGCCACAAACTCAATTAGAAATAAGCTTTGTCGGCTAAACGATCAATCCTGTGGAGCCTTCAAAACCAAACAGTTTAGTTTATCTAATACCCTGCCTGCAATGATTGTCAGGTCAAATACATAGATCAGACTAGTGGAACAGGGGCAGTCAAACTAGCCGAGCATAAAAACCTAGCAAAATGTAGATTAGTTGACCCGAATGAGATGAGAAATCTAGAGAATAGTTCAGTTTTACCACTCACTGCAGCACATCCAATTACACACATACATACAGTAGGATGGTATAGGATAAGATGACAATTTTGAA